GTTTATTTCAGATTCTTTAAATTCTTAATCTTATGATTAAAATTTTCTTTCATTCAGGATTGGAGGCAGACTCACCCGGTGTTTTCAAACTTCTCCTCTAATAGCTTAAAAGTAGTTAATGAGCAATTTCCAAAAGTGATTAGAAAGTGAGGCTTGTGAACTTAGTGTCCTTTAAAAGTCTCCACCACAGTTGTAAGTAAGATGACTAATCCTGTTATCTCCCAGTGCTCAAACCCATGGAAAACCACTGTCCTGCCGCCTCCTCACAAGGAGCAGTCGTCCAGAACACGTGTGGGCAATTTCCTGTCCTCTCCTTATCTGGAGAGGTTCCAAGGAACTGGTCTACTCACTGGTTCCTTGGTCTTTGCTGTGATTGTCGGCTCAGCTTTCACAGAGCCGTCTTCAGTTCATCATACCTCCCCCAGAAGGCACGACATCATAATTGCAAGCCAGATGCTGAGCATCCAGATCGTAATCATGTGACTGTGGGGACACTGCGACCATCATATGTACGAGGACTGGTCATAAGTACCACTCTTTCAGCACTGTCTTAAGTTTGAACGGTTGCTGAACGAGTGGTCGTTAAGCAAGAACTACCTGTCTGTTTGTTGAACAGTAAATAAATCAAATAAACAAACACATACAAGGACAGTAATTGGGTGCATGTAGCACACTAAGGCATAAGATGGTTTGTTTGGGTCTTAATTTATATAAATCCAGACCATTGTGGTTGGCTTAGTAAACCACAGATAAAGAAACAATGACTTTGCTTAGTTCGTTCTGATTGCCAGATCAGAAAATTCTTGGTGCGGAAACATGACTCCTTTGATGTCACTGTCTTTGCATTATTTCAAAAGAGTTTTGCATTAGATGTTCCAGTACATGTGTGTTCTACCATTTCTTTAAGATTTGGCTCATAGCAGAGTGAAATGCTAAAAATAATGTTATTGAATAAACATTAAGAGAATTACAAAAAAAAGATATACTAGTCAGTGTTCCTTCAGCTTGCCAACCTCCCCAAAGAAATGGCAGTGGATGAACCCCCTTAAACCAGCAGTTGTGCAGCACCTTTTCTTCCTGAGTCTTTGGGACTTCACTGAGGTTCAAAGGGTCTGGGGACTTTTTATGCTTTTCTTAAGGTATAAGGAATATAAAAAATAACACCTGGAGATGGCTTAGTGGCACATTTGATCAGTGACTTGGCCATAATTTAGACAGATGACTCAGTGCCAGGGATATTTTAAGTAAGACAGGGTCCCTAGCAGACAACACCTGGGAATGACTGATGAGATATCCTGCCAATAACTTGGGAAACAGATAACTGAGCCTCTGCCAAAGATATTTGTACATGAGATATTATTTCTAACATACTGTTACTTTCCTCCTTTTTGGAGGTGTTAGACAACTCATGTCCTCTTTATCTTAATTGTTTACAAATAGCAATATAGATATAGTGTGATTTACAATATAATGATGCAATCTGCAAAGCTTGTTAAGTAACTCTAAGTGTGCAGGTGGAGGAATTTGTAATAGAAAGCTTGCTAAGTTACACACAATTTGCGATGGCTTGTTAGAATATCTGTCTTATATATACAGAAGGAAATAGTGGATCATACTACTAGGTCCTTGGCAATCTTCTGCCATGCCAGCACAATGCATTGACTAATTTTGTTTCCAACTCTGACTAACCCTCTTATTTTCTTTGTTTTCTGTGGTGACCAATGTCTGTTATCCAACTCAGGTCTGTATCCAGTCTTTCCCCAGCCTTCTGAACTGAACTACTCCTCTCTCAGGGAAGAGGTGAGCAAAAAATTACAAAGACCCAAGTGTGGAGACCTCACTAGCATCAACTGAAGGATCCAATGGGTTGGAAATGAAAACTTCCTTTTGCTGGAATAAAAGATTGTTTCACCTAATTCTCTAATAAAAGACAGGTCCCAGTAATTTGCTTTCCACAATCAGTGTATATAGTCTAATCTTGTTATATATCGCAGTGAGCTCCTGTTGCCGAGACATGGGCAGCTGGAGTAGTCTGGTGCTTGGAGCAGGAATCCTCTTGGTTGATCATCTCCCTCCTGGAACAGCAGAAAGTTGCATATATCGAGTACCACCTCATGAAGCCCCACTCTCTTTTTCCCCATTGCTGTGGTTAGGCTGGGTGCTGAAGGAAAGATTGCTGATCCAGTACTTGGCTGGAAGCATGGGAGTGGGGAGAACAGATACTTTGGGGGGGGGGATCATGATTTCCACTTCCCCCATCCCATTCAATAGTGATCCTGATGAAACCGGGACTGATGCTTCTAGGTGCTGGGTGCAGTAGGGAAATGGCAAGTGGAAGGGATTCTGCTGGGACAAACACAAGCTTCTGCTCTTTTCCCCAGGGGGAGTGGCTCTTGTTATTCAACAGCATCCTCCCTTTCCAGGAGGTCTTGGCCCAAGTAACACAGCTCCTGCTCCCCAGCGGTGGGCTCAGAATAAGAGTCGGCACTGAAGCGGTAAGCTGAGACGCTGCTTGGCAGACTGTTATGGTTCCTTTTCCTTCCTTCACCTTGCCTGATTTTGCCCTGTGTTGGGGAATGATTTTAGCAGGCTATGCTCAACCCCAAACACTCATGTTTAGGGAGTTATTCTTCTTGCAAATAATGGACAGAGGGGTGCTACCCTTTGGGAGATGGTGGATGTTCTTAGGATGTCCTGAGATCCTAATAGGGTGGCCATTTTGTATAGACTGGGCTCAGTGGGCAAACACTTAGTAATTTAGGATCTAATTACAGGGAGGAGAGGCAGAAGATAACAGTTCAAGTCCGCTGTGTCACAACCTGGCCAGTGATCTTCCCAGAATAGACTGTAGATGTGAATTAGAAATACTTCGGGCATAATTTATTTATTTAAATTTATTGGCCGCCCAACTCCAGTGGACTTTGGCGTAGCCACTGACTAGATTTTCCACTCAGAGCAGCACTTTGGATTCAGTTTCTAAAAGATGTTTTGGAGCATGCAAGAGTGTGAGTGTAGCATCTTAAAGCAGCACCTTAAAGCACGTGTCTTTTCCCAGGACTACATAACTGTTGTTCTTCACAGCTGCTGTGAGATCTTGAGAAAGGCCAAGGCTGCTTTAATGTATATAGATAGGTGATACATTCTGACTTCTGCACACTCTGATGCACCTCTTGCAGATCAGATCCAAAGCGTCGCACAGCCCTGTTTTGTTCTGAGATCCTGAGCAAGAGTGGGGAATCTAATTTGATCCAAAGGTCAGATTGTCTTCCTTTCTACCCTTCTAGTTGATATGGCAACATGTTGAATTGTGACCTTAGCACATTCCTGAATTAGGGTTAGGGTTAGTTGTTTGCAAGAACCCTGGAATAAAGATTTGGAAAATCCTATATTCTATATCGGTGGCCAGGATCTGAAAGAATATTAAGTATGTGGAGATCAGATTAATTCAACAAAAGATTCTTTTTTCATCTATACTGAATACTCCAGTACATGTGAATGTTTAAAAAAAGGCTGGCTAATAACTTCATTGTGTTGGAAACGTAATAGATGAGGAAGCACTTAATCATATGATACAGGGTTGTCCTATTATTGCCACATTTGGTTTGATATTTGTAAATTTGTTAACAAGGTTCGCTACAGTTTAAATATGTGGATTACTTTTGAACTATATACCAAAGACCTGAAACTTATCATTATATGAAGAAGTTTTGTATTTATTGAGCATGGGAGATAGCAAATCACTGCTCAAAGTTGGAAATAGAGTGCTACTCCAGATTTACATTTTTAGATTGCAGATACATGTGTGTTTGCTTCTATAGCTCTTCCCTCAAGCCCAAATCTGTCCCCCAAACTGTCATTCTCCATATGCAAAAAAATCCTGGAATGAGCCTTTCTCCTCCTCTGCACATGACGAAAGACTTTCTTGGTGCATGAGGACAGAAATAATGATTACCTATCTCCTGGTATCCATTGAGAAAGGAACTGGAATTGGGAAGGAGACAGAAGCTCCACATAGTGGGCCATATCTATTATATAGTTTGGGGATTCTCTGCTCTTACTCTTTAGGACATTTATTTATTTATTTATTAAATTTATATGCCACCCATCTCCCCCCGAGGGTGGCTCTGAGTGGCTCACAATTAAAATCAAACATTAAAAACAGTAAAAATATAAATATCCATATTAAATTAGCTAAAAAAAATTATATAAAGAGACTTTATGTATATAATTATATAATACAATACTGCATAATTTTTACAGTAATATGAGGCACAGTTCTTGCTGTTGAAGTTCAGACGCCAGGCAGGGGAAATATATTTGCACCATTATTCTCACTTCAGAGGCTACTTTGTACAGGATAGTGATTAAATTGCTTTGCATTAGATTCCTTCTGATTCAGCCTCCAGTTAAAAAGGACCTTAGATAGCATTTTTGGAGAAACATTTAATGAACTCCTAGAGACCACCTGTCAGTGACCCACATTCTCCCAATGCATTTGCGCTAAGAGAAATGGAACTGTTTTGCTTTGTGTTATAGATTTGCAAGTTCCTGATCCAACTAAGCATGGATTTCAGTTCCTACTACAACCGAGTGCACATTCTGGGGGTAAGTGCTCTAGAAGGGATATGAGGATATGTAACGTTCAGTATGTACGTCCAAAACATACCCTTTAATGCCTCTCATTATAGCAAACAGAAAAAGAAAATGGTGGGTTTACTGTGAGCCAATAACAGACTTAAATGATTGCAAATCATTTAATTTGGATTCAGGGCTCATCTGCATATCCTGTTAACTATAGCTTGAAGACTCCCACAAACTGTTTTTAGAGGATGTGGGCTCATGACACACCTTTTGCCTCATTCCCAACCCACTATATGCAGGGAGGCTAAATTCATCTTTAGCTCTTCCGGTTTTAAAGTCGAGTTTGGAGTTTTCTCCCCGTACATGTCTTGGCATACAAATGGTCTATGATACCTCATTCACAGTCTGAGTGAAGTCAGGGGCTTGCATTTCCTCAGCATCTCTTGACTGTGGACACATCCTCTCCTTCTGGATGTTGTCCTTCGTTGGCATTTTAGTTTTAGCTGCTGGAAAAACTAGACACCTGGAGGCATCTGGCCACATAACGGGCATCTGCTCTTTGCAAAACAGCATTTAGGCACAATGTGGGCTCCTTACATAGAGTGGTATTCCAGTCTTTTGGAAGATGGCTAGACCTGTTATTGAACATGTGTACAGTGGTTTTTCAAAAGAACGATAAACCTTTATGTTAAAAGAAATTGGGGGGGGGGCAAAATGCTGGTCAGTGTGATTTGGGAAAGAGATTTATTGCTGGTTTTGTCCCAAATTAGTGTATTAAATATTTTTCTTTTGCCAGAAAGGGTATTTGTATGGCCATCTGTTATTACTTCATAACTGAGGCAATCAGAGCTCAATTGTCAGGGCACTGCAAATTACAACAGCATCTTTTTTTGCTGATTCAAGGTTTGAAGGCATGCATATTAACAGGGCTGTGAGGAAGAGCCCTCCATACAGCGCGTGACAGCTGGTGGCAGCACTGGTCTTGAAAAAAATCTAAGCCGCCACAGACCTGTTAGTAACTTGGATGGGAGACCACCCAAAAATACCAGGGCTGTGGGCTAGATTTACTAAAAATGTAATATACTCAGGAAAAATAAAATAGCAACTATATAAATATAGATATTTTTACAAGCACTCTGATGAAGGTGAAGGAATTTTGAGGACAAAAGGCTTAGAGTTCTACTTGGTTCTGTCCCTTCAAAGTTATTTGCAACTAGAAGCTTTTCTTTAGGCAATGGTAAGGTTTCAGCTGCCTTTACTACTTTCCCAAGCTAATTGTTACACGTGAGTATCCTCTTCCTTTATGTGATCATGATATCAGCACCAATTTTATGGTTCAGATAGCATCAGTGTTTTCACCTCTCTGCTGCCCAGACATGGAAAGTCCCATAGCACAGAAAGTTCTTCCTACTGGTTACTAAGAATAAAATCCCCTCATTATGGCTGTGTATTGTGTGAATCCAGCTCCCTGTTTCTGGGTGGTGAAATGCATCCTCTCCAAGCACAGCCACAGGAAGAAAGGAAAGGGAGAACATGAAAGGATTTCACCCCCTTTTCTTCCCATCCCCTAACTCCACCCACAAGAAAACTGTATCTGCTCCTATCCGCACCATTTTGATGATTGTTTTTGCCTCCAACAGGAACCACGTCCCCATTTATTCAGCCAGATGTTTGCCCGGCTGCAGCTGATGAGAGCTGTGAGGGAAGTGCTCCATAGTGCTCTGGGCACCCTCCACCTAACTCCTCTTAATCAGATCTGATCAGATTGGTCTCATACCTGTGCTTGGGATTTGCATCAGCCTCCTGTGATAAAAAGGAATGGGGAACTCATTCATATGAGGGAGAATGGAGAGCGGGATGCTATGCTGTACTGAGTAATTGACAGCTACCAAGTATATCCTTGCAGAATACAGTTCATGTTTTGGTACTGGAATGAATTGCCCTGAATTGATGAAAAGAGGACACATACATTTCTTCTGAAATTATTCTGAAGTTCTTGGAGCTAATGAATTCTAGTCACGGAACAGAGAAAGAGGCAAGTATTTTGTATTACTAATTGCCTTGTTTCTGAAGCTTGTTTCGGATCGGAGTGGATGTAAAAAATAGCAAGAATTCTTGAGCCAAATGAATATAAAGCTGGTGGATGCAAATGACCATTTACTATATGTTTTTAAATTCTGTTCTAAAATTGGTAACATTTATTTTCGTACAGTAAAAACTGACACCAGCAGGCAGTAGCAGTGTGTAAATAAAATAATGCAGATACAGAGATCTGTGATTGCAACTTGGAGAGAGGAATTGCCTCTCTGTACAAGCTTGTCTGTGCTGATGTACTAATTGTATCTTAATGTCAGAAGGCGAGCAAGGTTCAAACTCATAGTATTGGTCTGTGGCTTATAAGACAAGGGAAAGAAGGTTGGGATTACTTCAGCACAGGCAGACTGCTCAGCATCGGCTGTCATGAACCATAACAATAATGGTAACACAATGAGATGTCTGCTATCCACTTTCATTCCATACTTTTTATCACAACGTGCCCATCAGATAATGGAGCTTTTTTGTGTGTTCATGCCCATCAGATAGTGCTGATGTAGTGGATATCACAGTTCTTTGTGAAAGGTGGTGAGTTCATCCTCTTTGGGGAGGTGTGGTCAATGCCAGACTCTAGTTATTGCCGCTGTTTCATCAGAGCAATGAGTGATTGGCGTTGTAGCCAATCTTGATGGTGACAATGTGGTGGCAACTTAAAGGAGAAGGCGAAATCGCAGCTGAAGTTGAGGTTGGTGATCCTGGACCCAGAGCCCCACCTTCATTCCCTGCCTTGTGCTCTGGAAGTGCCTGGACATGCCTCTGCTGCAGCCATTTTCTTTGGTGGAAGGAGATCCTTCATGCCTCCTTAGTAATTGGAGTCTTCTCTTCAAGCTTTGGGAAGAAACTGTAGGAATCTTGAGCTATCTGCTACAGATACTATAGGCCTGAAAAGAGCTTGGAAGGATGTTATCAGATTGAGAGAGCCTAATCCAGGATGAGATGCTATTATTGCCCAAAGGGCCCTCCTGGGCATGGAAGGGGCAGGCAGGAAGCATAGGAGCTTCTGGCCTCATTTTTCTTAGGCAGAAGAAAAGAGCACAATAGATGTTAGTGAATTACCTGCCAAGATAGCAGCAAATAACAAGCTGCTATGGCACTGCATATCAGAATCAGGGACTCTCTCTATAGGCTCCTCGGTGGATCTCTATCCCTGAATCTGTCTATGTGGTTGCTAGGAGTCGAAAAGACTTGATGGCACGTAATCAATCATTCAGTGGATCTCTGAGTAAGGATTGGGGGATTCAGAAATCCTGGCTGAGGTGAAGAATAACTGTCTTTGATCTGCAGGTAGACAGGTTATTATTTATGCTTTGGGTCTCTCGATGCAGATGGTCACCATATTTTCTAAGGAAGTCAAAGACAATGCCAACTTCAAGGTTCAGCAGCACTGAAAACTGCTGGACATTCCCCCCTAAGTAGAGTCACAAGACCCTCCTAATACAATACTGGAAACTTTAGCTAGGGCCAGATTTTCAGTAACAGAGCAGGTTGGGCTAGATACAAAAGGATAGGATAAGAAGTAATAGCCTCACCAAAGTCTTTTTTGTCTTGTATGGAAATTCAAGGAATAATTATTCCAATTTTGCCTTGGGAGTAAGAGAATTTGGGGAGCAATTTTATTCAAGGTTGCATTGTAGGTCCCACTTGGATATGAAAAAAAAAAGTAGAAGATATGTGTAGGGTGCAACTGCCCCTGAATGCCCACACTGAATATGGATTGTTTGATTCATATTCCCAGCCCTGCTTCTTGAGTCAGGAAAGTATCCCAAATCAGTTTCCATCCACTGAGATGCTAGGGAGGAGATGTGCAGTAGAGAGTAACTACACACACAAATGTCCTCTTCTATTAATCCTATGATTTATGAAGCTGCCAGTCAGCAGGAGTATATAAAGGTAGAAGATGCACTGATAGACAGAAACTAGTGCTAAACAACAATGGTATATTTTCTGGGTCTGTAAGCAAGCGTTTTCCCTCATCCAGCAATAAGAAATCTTCTGCAACAGAGGTCGAATCTACGGTTTCTCATCATAGCAGCATTCACATAATCATCTGCTACCTGCCCAGATTCATATGAATGAGATCCAACATGGGGATTAACCTTGAGGGGCTGAACGACAAACTGGAGGGTGGGGCCATGGCTCAGGCAGAGCAGATGGTTGCATGGAAGGATGCTCAGCAATCCTGGGATCTCCTCTGACAAGGAAAAGGTAGCAGGTGTTGCCTTAGATCAATTATAGGGTATCTGTGGATTGCCAGGGCAGACAGGGTGGGGTAAACAGATAAATATTTTGTTCTGGTCTCTCTTACACTCCTTATGAGTGCTTAGAAAAGGCAGCCAGAAGCCAAGCTTGTTTGCAAAAAACAAAGGGTATATTCTTAAATTACAATAATTTAAGCTAGCATGGTAGCTGTCAAGGTGTTGAACTAGGGCTGGGAGACATCCAGGTTTATGGGTGGGCTCATTGGATGATTCTGAGTCCAACCTATGTCACAGGGTGGTAGTTGTGAGACAAACTGGAGGAAATGCTATATATACATCTCCTTGGAGGAAAAGATGCCATATATAAATCCATCAGACAAATGAATTTATCTGTTTGAGGCAGAGGAACTGTCAGCAGTGAGCATTATCCTTCTTAGCACCTGAGACACAAACCCTCTAAAATGGGTTATGGAATTAGGATAACAATGCCTTTCACCTTGACTGCTACAAATGATGTTATGAGCAGAATTCCTTTGACGCCTGCTGTTGTCCTCCTTTGTCTTCTGAATTTCAGTGGAATAAAGCCGTTTCAGATCCCATCTTTTATTTCTCTACCTTGCACGTCCAGCCCCCAGGAAAGGACCTCCAACCCCTGACCACATATCGCACCACGATAGCTGTGTCCTTCGGTTTCCCAACACTCCAGAGCGGCCACATCAGCCACGTGGCAGAATTTGCTCCACAGAAAAGACAAACTGTCCTCACAGAGGCTCCAGAGCGTCAAGCGTTGGTCCACTGACACAGAAAGGAGGAAGTTCAGGTGGAGGAGCCTCACTCCTGTCACTTGAGCTGCGTGAGCACAAAGTCGTGATACTTTTCTGACCGCTTGGATGCCGGTCCTGGCTGTGGTCTCCTGGCCCACAGGGCTTTCAGCCTTCACATCAATAACATGGACAGAGATGGACCCGTCATCACTGCCACTGACCACTACAAAGCGTCTGTCAGCTGTTTCCTGGATATGGAGACTGTTCACACCACAGCTGTGAGCCTGAATGGTCAGGACTGGGGGTTCCAGGGCTGGAAAACAACAGAGGTGCTGGTTATATTTCTGCAGATAATTTATTGCTGGCTGCCTTGGGCAGTTTTTTAAATGGAAAGGTGGGGTAGTACTACAAGAAACAGTAGGTACACTGAAAGGGTCCAAGATTGGAGAGGAACACTTGAACAAAACCCAAATGCTCACTTGAACCCTCAGGTGAACAGAAACTTCAGCTAAGAGACTTTACAAGAAAGGGGGTACACTTGCTTTTTTAGGATGCATCAACAGCACAGCCAATACCTACCTAGAGGTTTCATCTGTGTGTTTCCTGCCTTTACTGTCACTGCAATATGGCTGAGGGCAGTAGTAACATCCCAAAATGCAATGCTCCCATCAGTGGCCGCACTGCCCATAAAGTGTCTCCTATAAAAGAAAGAGGTATTCCTAAAGTTAGCTCTCGGAATCCTCCAGCCTGATTCTCTGTTCCAAACTTCATGCAAGCTTCTCCTGGCCAAGGGGGATGGCACTCTCAAACACCCGTGAGACATGCAGTTGCTCTGCCCTTCTTACCTTCTCCCACTAGCAGTCTTACAGGTAAATGCCTCAACCTTCAGGACACAGTGCTGATGGTGAAAGGATTCTGCCACAAGACACAACTTCTGGGCATTCTCAAGTAGCAGGAAGAGTCTACAGAGACATGTAAGGAGACAGTCAAGAGGGAAACGCACTTAAATGGGCAGAGCTCACATTCTCTGCATGGCATCTCTTGATATGCTCATATAACGCTGCTCTATGAGCTGCATTGGCTCCCAATTCAAGGTGGTCACCACCTATAAAGCCCTACATGGCATGGACCAGGCTATTTGTGGGACCACCTGTCTCCCATTGTTTCTGCCTGCCCTACCATGTCTGTCAAGAAGGGCATGCTCCAGATCCCTTCCATCGAACAATGCCATCCTCTTGGACGCTGGAGTCGTGCCTTCTCTGTGGCTGTGCCTGCCTGTGGAACAGCATCCCCCAGAGATCCAGATGACCCTGTTTCTGTTAACTTTTTGTAAGGCTCTGAAAATCTGGCAGTTCCTCCAGGCTTTTGGGACAGGTAATTAGATGAACTCCATTGATGATGTGGTTTTGTTTTGGGTGTTATTGTTTACCTGGAGTGTCATGCGTTTGTACTGTTTCTATGGTTTTAATCTTTGTACACTGCCCAGAGTCACTGCTGTGAGATGGGCTGGTCTATAAGTTGTTTAAATACATACATACATAAATACTTAAGCCTGTTCCTTGCTCGAATATGGAGGAGATGCTTCATAAGAGTAACCAGCAGTTGCCCCCCATTTTGTTCTTCTTGCCCTGCCTTCCCCATCAGTCATTCCAGCCATCCTAATCCCCAATAAGAGGAGCAGAATTTATTTTCCTTACCGGACGGATCCATCACTACAAGCAGCAGCTAGGAAGTGTAAGGGACCGGGCAGTTCTGGATCTTCTGTCCTAGCCAGCGCCACCATAGACATGTACCTGGAACATATGAATCAGTCACTTCTTCTGGGGGTTTCCGTTTGCTGGTTGCTCTGTAATTCAGAGCAGTAGAAGCAGGCATGTACAAGCTAGAAAGTGGCATGCTGCTTGCTATCATTCTCTTCACTGTACACATGTCTTATTCTAATCACAGTATACCAGAATGGGAAGAAAAGTCTGTTCTAGTGGTCTAGACGAGTGTTTCTCCACCTCAGCCATTTTAAGATGTGTCAACTTCGACTCCCAGAATTCTCCAGCCAGCATGCTGGGTGGGGAATTCTGGGAGTGAGTCCACATATCTTGACGTTGCTGAGGTTGAGAAGTAGTGGTCTAGACTAAGTAAAGTGGAGCCTCGATACTGCTTCATAAGTCCCTGAAGAGAGACAAAAAGTGGTACAGGGTGTGAAAGCCTCTGTCACCTGGTCATCCCATCAGCTTGCTCAAGCACCTTTCCAGTGCTTATGTTGGTAAGGCAATCCCATGCAAGTTTCCTGCTTTCTTCACGGAATTCAGTGATGCTTCTTTCCAGAAAAATGGGCAAAATCAAGGCATGTACAGAGTTCTGTGGTACGTATCACTGCTTCCACAGGTAATACAGGAATATTCTAAGATTTAGGTGCTTGAGGAGGAGAGAGCTTTAATGTTCAGACATTTTGATAAACAATCATATAATGATCCTTTTCATACCCTTTCAATCCATTTTTAAGATTACTTGTGAAAGACTAATGGTTCTCCTAATGCTCACTACTTTCGTGTGTGTGTGTGTGTGTGTGTGTGTGTATTCTGCAGATTCCTCCCCCTCCGCAACTTTGCAGAATGTTGCTGACAATTCAAGTAACCACATTTTTGGGTGTGCAAAGTTTTAGACAAACCACAAGTATTATTAGCCAAAGCAAGTTGAAAACCTCACAGCCTTTTTGATGTTTTGATGCAACTCCTGGAGCCTCAATATTTTTTGTTGCTTGGTGGTGGTGAAGTTTGTATAGATTAGCTGGCTATTATTACAGGCTATAACTGATTTGTGAAAGAAAGAAACTGAATGGGCATGAAAATTACCCTTGGGGGCAATTAGAAATGGATACTACTGAACTCACGTACACATATGTTGAAGGATCACAAGGGGAATCAGCAGCCTAGACTCAAAGCTAAATAGGGTTTTATATTTTGTATATGGGATCAGTCATATCACCCGTGCAGGTTGTCCTAATGGGACAGTTATGGGAAAAGACCATTATTTCTACCTGGTTTCTGGATCCATCTTTAGGAGTTTGTGCTTATTCTTCTTGTGGTCCCAGTGCTCATCTAGGCGATGCGATGCCACATGAACCAGCTGACAGGCTACGCTGCTGCTGGAATCATGCTTAGGGCTGAACATTAATCGATAACACTCGATCTGGGCTCGTCCCCCGGCTGAAAAAAGCATAGTGGAGATCCTTCCCATCTCAGGTTGAGTAACACCGTTCCGGACCACAGTCAGAGCCCTTACACTGGAGATATGGTCACCAATAGCAGTGAGCTGGGTCACCGTGTGAGTTTGCACATTAAAAGCGAGAATGTTCACTGTATTGTCCTCACTTCCTGTAGCAAAAATGCTCACCCTCTCTCGCCCAAATGTTTTCAGGGTACCAATGTGACACACACATGTCAACCCCCTGCCATGGAGAGCTGCTTTCAGGATTCGATGCTCACTGGAGGCTTCTTTACTTTGGTACAACCAAATTTCCCCAGATTTGACATAAGCAAAGGCCTCTATGGAAAGGCAATGGGCATAGCTCCAGGAGCGGTGGCCACCTCCACAGGGAATGAAGAGGAGCATCTCACTGCTGCTAACACTCCAAACTACAAAGTGAGTAGCATGGAAGCCTAGCACCCACAGGCTTCCATTAGGGCCAAAGCGTAGATCTTCCAGCCATTCCAAGTCTTTCCATGGCTTCTGCTTCCTCAGCACATGGAGCTGCTGATCCTGCACTTGCAGCTGGCGGTAGCAGCTGTCTCTCCCTGTGCTGTAAATAAAGTCACTGTGGCAGGTTATGGAGGTCACACCAAGCTTCCCATGAAGCCCGAATAGCAGAGAAACAGGCCTCTCGGCCTGGGGCTCTTCATTTCCGATAGGGAAGGTAACTCCAGGTAAGTTACAGATGAACCCTGAAGCAGAACTGCCAAGTTCGTCTCCCGCTCGTGCTTTCTCCAGTCCCAGAGTTGGCTTGCATGCAAACATCATGAGAGAGCCCCTGCGGTCACCGCAAAGCAGAAATTCTCCCTGGGGCAGGAAAGCAGTGCAGGTGTGCCATCGCTGCTTGCAGACTGGCAGGAGGAAACATTGCTTTACCACCACAGTGGTTCCCCCAAGTGGATGCCAAGAGACCTCCAGCCACAGCAGAGCCCCAGCTGGGCCAGATGCAAAGAGACTGCAAGTATTGGGATCCTGTTTTGGAGCTGTGGCCCAAGTCAAATTGTGCACTTTCCCTTCATACAGGTTTAACTCCTTGCTGTGTGTGGGACTGCTGACTGGAAAGACTTTCACTTGCCCCGACAAATTGCCTATGGCACACAGAATACCCCCGTTGGCAAGCTTGGACGCTTCTAAGAGACTGTAGGACTGATAAGCAGCATCTTCCAGGAGCAACGTCCAAGCTTCAGAAGCCAAGTCACAGGAATAGACAACCCCAGCATCAGTCATTACCAAGAGATGATTTACACCCACCAGTTTTACCACCCTGGGGGATCCTTTTTTTGCAGGAAAAGGAAACTTCAGCTGCCAGAATTTATTCCCACTGGTGCTTCTTTCCTTGAGGCACCAGTGTCTAATGCCGGAATCAGCTCCTCCTGTGAACACCCAGCCTCGCCCCTCATGCACAGCCACTGCCCGCAGCCCTTGGCCCTTGTGTCCTTTGAAGCTGTGGACAACCTTGCCTTGGTAGTTCCACACGAGACAAGTGGAATCCTCTCCAATGCTGATGATGTAGTCCCGTAGCAGTCTTACTGACCAGACTCTGGACTGGTGCCCATAGCACACGAGCAAGCATGGGACCAGAGCAGGTGGCTTTCTGAGGTCACAGACACTCCAAAGCCGCACACTCCTGTCATCAGAGGCAGAGGCCAGGATGCCTCTGCTCTCCAAGAAGCAAATGCTGAAGATGACACCGCTGTGCCCGCTGATCCTGCTGCGGGGCTTTATCCTTCCTATGTCATCTGTCTGGTCAGCTGCACACCAGACCACCAACTGATGAAAGACTGTGCCAGCCACCAAAACCAATGTCTCCCAGTGGCTCCCTACCAAGTGGGCAGAATAGAGGATACATTTCTCTTGGCAGTGCACTTCTTGGAGGATCCTCTGGCCAACACAGTCATACAGTGCCACTGAATTGTGTCCCAAGGCCACAGCCACACTGCTGGGCATCTCAGCCCTGCCCTCCAGCCACTGCAGGTCCCAGATCCAGTCATGCAGCTCACAGAAAGGAAAAACTTCACTGAGTTTCACTGTGCTGTCCTGGAAGCTGAGTTTTACAACCACAAAGCTTTTGCCTCCAAAGATAGCCAGGGTTGAAGGTTTGTTAGCTCCAGGACTCAATTTCTGCTGCTCCTTAATACCATGGACATTATAGTTCTGAAGGACCTGCCTGGAGCATCTTGCTGATGGGCTGGCACCCGGCTCCAGGATATAGATGGCTATGTTGGGTCCTTCTCCTGAAGGAAGATGGATACCAGAATATCAAGTCAGCATATTTCATATGGAATCAAAACACCAGACACTTTTCCCAGAATTGCCCACCCCCATATATACGGTAATACAAAACCTCCACTTCACCCCAGATACACTCTTCTGCAGTGCTTGCTCCTAATTTATCAAGGGCAAATAGGGTACAGTTTCCAATGCAGTCTTGAGTTCTTCTACCCTGTAATCATCCTTATGTGAATGAAATTATATTATCCTATTTGATTTCCAAATTCCTATGATCTCCACAAACATATTTCATAGACAGTAGTCTTATTGATCCTGAGTAGGATTCCTAATTGTTCCCCTTTTGCTTTTGGCTTCCAACGCAGGCTATTATATATTCTGTCACCTCCCCCTCGGGTTCACTCTTGGTTTAGCTTAGAAGAAATCTGTCTCTGAAAAATCCTACAGTGAAATGGTTATTAACCTTCAATTAGCAAGACTATGGCCTCATATTTGGCCCATCTGACAATGTCCCTTACCCCCACCAAATGGGGAAAAGGGGGGATTCTAGTCTCTCACCTTAGAAAAAGTAAGATATTCACCTGCTATAAGATGATCTCCCACAATCTCCAGAGCTGTAATAGGAGCCAACAGTAGTTCTGTTTCCATGACTCCACAAGGATGGGAGGTGAAAACCCCTCTGGAATCTCTCCCTTGTTGATAAGGATTTGCAGACATCTGAGGAAGGAGGAAAAACCTTTAAGCCATCCTGTAGATCTGCATCAGCTCAGACAGGTAACTACAGGAATAAGCTACCTTTTGATGTACAACACAGGAATCATGAAGAGCTAAGGAAGACCCTCCAAGCAGAATCAACATGTTTGGTTAAATGGTTAAATTGATCCACAACACTAAATATGGTGATTGGCTGTAGAACTGGATCTAGGCTGAGAGTTGAATTCACACACACACACACACATACACCCGTTCTAAAGCTAACAAACTTTCCAGTATACTGCAGATTAATATGAGCCCATTGCATCAAAGGACTTATATAAGTTCATTCAGTGGTGGTACATTTGAAAGGAGGTTCCCAAGTAAGTTCTGGATAGTCATTCAAGATTCCAGAGAAATCTTTTTTTAAAAAAATTGAAAATACTTTTTGAAAAGGGTCTCAAAAAACAAAGTCTATGAAGGAGTATTAGTCAACATGTAGGGAAGAAAAAAATAAATTATAAAGTCAGATAGGCCTGACATGCAAAAACTACAGGCTTTGTTAATTACATTAAGGAAATCAATATAAAATACTTACAGTATTTACAACGTAGTGGCTATTCTGACTTAGGTGTTGCAGTCAAGAGTCAGTCTGCTGAAAAGAAAGAGGACCTACATATGCCTATGGGGAGTTAGAAAAGCCTATTTCCAAGAATCAAACCAGAATTTTCCCTTGAGGCACAAATGACCATGCTCAAACTATTATATTTTAGAGACACAATGTGCAGACCCGGCTCTCTTGAGAAGTCCATGACGCAAGGGGAGTTGGAGGATGACCACCAGCAGCAAGGTGGACGGACTCAATTACATTACAACAGCAAGGAGTCCACCACTGGGAGACCTGAAAGTTGAAGACGGATCATCTGGGGGAGAACTGCTCTTCGGGGTTGCTGAGAGTTGAGGACGACTCGATGGGACTTAATCGAGAACGCAAGACAGACATGCATTCTAAAGCAGAAACGGGGAGCCCGCAGCTTCCTAGAATCTGGTTGTCCCCAAGTCCTGGCTCTGCTGACCACGGCTGATGGAGTCAGGATAAACTCCTGCTGTAACACGTGGCACATACCCCTCGGCCCCACTCCACTGGATATGGTTCCGAAGCATTTATTTTACAGGACGTAGGTTTGAGCACGTTTCGCCTTCATCGCCGGGGCGCAGGCAGGCCGGGCTGAAGAGGGGCCTGTTAAAGGCAAAACCGGAACGTGCGGAAACGCTTCTCCTTTGACTGGGAAGGGAAGAGCATGGAAAGCAGAGGAAGAAACACATCAGCGGACAAGGAAAGGAAGGAACGCAGCGGAGCCTTCGCGCAGCAACCTCGCGCGCAAGAAGCCAGTCCCCTTACCTCGCATCCACGCGCCGCTACTGATTGGGTGTGCCTCGGGAGGCCTGTTCCCGGTTGGCTTTCGCCGAGGGACGCCATTGGCCAGTGGTTGCCAAGGTGGTTCCTGTCTGGGTGAGATTCGATGGTGGGGGGGCGGGGTAGGAACATTTTCTTAAAGGCGCAGCGAGGAGGATATCGGCCCGCTGGGAGGCGGGATTGGCGGCCGCAGCCAAGTGTTCCGGAACGTAACGAAGCAGCTGGAATTAGAGATCGAAGCGTGGTTTGGCGCTAGCGGGAGGACGGAGAGTGGCCCAAAAGGGACGCACGGGAAGAGCGAGTGCGCCGCTTCACGGGAGTCATCGCGGTCTTTGGAACCAGAGGCAGCTTCCACCCGGTTCACCGTGAGCCGTCGAGAGGAGCGACCCTTCCCTTGGCTTCAGTGCGAAGCTAGAAAGAGAGCAGGAATTCTGAGTCATTTGCCGTGTTTCTCAATTTTGGCAAACTTTAAGATGTGTGGACTTCAACTCCCAGATATCCCCAGCCAGCAGGGCTGGCTGGGGAATTCTGGGAGTTGGAGTCCACGCATCTGACTTCAACTCCCAGATATCCCCAGCCAGCAGGGCTGGCTGGGGAATTCTGGGAGTTGGAGTCCACGCATCTTAAAAGTTTGCCAAAATTGAGAAACACTGTTAGCAGCGTCCCTTTGGGCTGCCTTGGGGCAGAGCTCTTACCTCGGTCCCACCATGCCGGCTATAACTAGGGTTACCGTAACCGGGCAGCCGAAATCCAGACGAAGGCAGCAATGAGCTTTTAAAAAACAAAAAAACAAAAATAATAACAACAACCCTTTGCCGCCGTCCATGCCCATCTGGATGTTGATAGCCCGATTTGCCTGGTGGGGAAACGGCCTGCGGGGAGGTGGGCAGAGCCCGGGCTC